CGATCCTTCCACCTCAGCCTTCCGAGTAGCTGGAACTACAGGCGCGCGCTACCACGCCTGGCTAATTTTTGATTTATTGTAGAGATGAGGTCTCGCAGGTTGCCCAGGCGAGTCTCGAACCCGCGGGCTCAAGCAATCTACTTACCTCGGCCTCCCAAAGTACTGGGATTACAGGCTGAACCACCGAGCACAGCCCCTACTGGGATTTTAACCTAACAGTCTTCAAAATAAAATTCTGTGACAACACTGCTTCCACATAAAAATAATGAAACCAATCAAACCACTTTTTTTTTGAGTTGGGGGTCTCACTTCTTTGCCCAGGCTGGAGTGTAGTGGCACGCATGCTCACGGCCGCCCCAGCATCGATCTACTGGGCTCCGGCGATCCTTCCGCCTCAGCCTTCCGAATAGCCAGAACTACAGACATGTGCTACCATGCCCGGGTATTTTTAATTTTTTTATTGTAGAGACAAAGTCTTGCCAAGTTCCCTGGGCTGATCTCAAACCCGAGGGCTCAGGTAATCCACTCACCTCGGCCTCCCAGAGTGCTGGGATTACAAGCTGAGCCACCGAGCCCAGCCTCAAACCACCTTTTAAAGATTTTTAAAATCAGAGTTTATTGAAATAATTTTTTGAGGCAAATTTCATCCAATATAACCCAAAAGTACATACTGACATATGACTTCATAGTTCTTATGAATTTCAATTCAACTTCAGAAATATTTTAAAACTGTCCAACCATCAGAATTCAGGAGAAAATATCAAATCTCTGGATTAAACAAAAGTCATTAAATGACTCATACAACTTGCCTTAAAAGAAGAAAAAAAAGAAAACATTAAACATGTTGTTTTTCTCATAATGTAAATCATTATTGTTGGAAATTTGGTAAATACAAAGTAACAATAATGTGTTAACCCAAAGTTAACCACTATGAAAATTTTGGTCTATATTCTTCCTGACTTTTGAGGTGAGTCTGGGGGGGTGGGGCATGTATTTAAATTATTTTTGGGAATAACAAAGTTCCAAAATGATAATGGCTTGAACAAGGTAGACGTTTTTTCTCACATAAAGTCTAGAGTCAGCAGTGCAGGATGTTCTTCCTAGGTTCTTCATTTTATTTTAGTCTAGTCTGAGTCCAACTCTTAGTCTCAGTCTCAGTCTCAGTCTGAGTCTCACTCACTCTGTCACCAAGCTGGAGTGCAGTGACTCACAGCCACTGTAGCCTTGACCTGCTGGGCTCAGGTGATCCTACTACCTCAGCCATCCAAGTAGCTGGAACTACAGGCCCACCACACCTAGCTAATTTTTTGATTTATTGTAGAAATGAGGTCTTACCAAGTTGCCAAAGCTGGTCTCGAACCCGTGGGCTCAGGCAATCCTCTTACCCTGGCTATTATATTTCTTAAATTAAATTTTATTTTATTATAGAGATGTGGGGTATAAGTAAGGATTAACTACACAAGTATGCTAGTGGAGTTGGGGCCTTGAACTGGCCTTCACTCCCCCTGGTATAGGACCAGGTACCCTTTGTGTTGTTACATCTCCGACCCCAACCCCAAAAGGTGGGCATTTTAGACTGATGAAGTACCATTGTGTATTTGGGGAACAGTGTCATCCAGAGTCTTGGCAAAGGTTGTCATGGTAGAAAAATCTAGAAAGGTAGATTAAAGTCAGATTGTTAAGGACCTGAGTGCTATAGTAAAGAATTTTAACTCTAATATATTGAGTTAGGTGTTCTTAACCTGAGATAAGAGTAACAGACTTGTGATCTCCATGAAGTTGTGTGCATTGTGTGAGAGAGATGCAGTAATTATCTCGTAATCCCTTCTATGAAAGGATTATGAACCACTTCTCTGTCTTTTGGGAAGTCAGCAAAGTTTTTGAGCAGATTCAAAGAAATCTATATTTTAGGTTGCCTTGATAGCACAGGGGTAGAGGTTGAGTAGGTTGAGGACTAAGAGAAGCTGTTAGTTTGGCAGTTAGGAGGTGATTGGTGACCTTGTTCAGGTGATACTTCCAGGAGAGTGTAGGATTGAGGAGTGGATGGGAAGACGTTACACACAATAACTATAGACTTCACTTTTAGCACATTTGAAAAGGAAGGAATATTTAGGAAAGATGTATTAGTTACAATGATTTCTTTCTTTTTTTTTTTTGAGTTGGAGTCTCACTCTGTCACCCAGATTGGAGTGCAGTGGCCGCTCCCGGCCACCGCAGCCTCGATCTGCTGGGCTCCGGCGATCCTCCGCCTCAGCCTTCCAAGTAGCTGGAACTACAGGTGTGCGCTACCATGCCCAGCTAATTTTTGATTTATTGTAGAGATGAGGTCTCGTCAGGTTGCCCAGGAAGGTCTCGAACCCGCGGGCTCAGGCTATCCACTCACCTCAGCCTCCCAAAGCGCTGGGATTACAGGCTGTGCCACCGAGCCTGGCTACAATGATTTCTTGAAAACCACCTCAGACTGGCTTAGACAGGGATGCAGGAAGTCTAGGGCTCATGTTGGCTTCAGGATTGATTTCTCCAGAAGCTTGGGTTGTCTGAGTCCCTGAATCTTTTCTCTACTGTGTTCTTCACATATCATCTTCCTCTCAAGGCTGGCATCATTACTGGTGGTAAAAGGGGCTAAGAACCATTGGGGGTGTGTGTAACAGGAATGCATGATTCTAGCTTCATTTTCTTTTTCTCTCTCCTTTTTTTGGAGACAGGGTCTCACTGTCACCCAGGCTGAGGTATAGTGGTATGATCACAATTCACTCTAGCTTCAACCTTGTGGGCTCAAGAATTCCTCTTGCCTCAGCCTCCCAAGTAGCTGGGACTACAGATGTGCACCACCATGCCTGGCTAATTTAAGAAATTTCTTTTGTAGAAACAGCATTTCTCTATTTGCCTAGACTGGTCTCAAACTTCTGGGCTCAAGCAGTTCTCCTGCCTTGGCCTCCCAAAGTGCTGAGGTTATAGGCGTGAGCCACTGCAACCAGCCCACTAAGAGAAAGAAGACTGGAACTTGGTGGCATGAGCCTGTGGGAGGATTGCTTGGGTCCAGGAGGTTGAAGCTTCTGTAAGCTACGATTGCATCACTGCATTTCAGCCTGAGTGACGGAGCAAGGCTCTGTCTCTAAAAAAATAAAAATTAAAATTAAAAGAGCAAGAAGAACTTTCTTACAAACCTCTCTTTGGGTATCATTAGTCAGAATAGGTTTACATCTAATTTCTCACCTCATCCCTGGGAAGAGGGATTCAGCTACCCTTAAACCAAACAAGTGCACCACTCAAAAGAAGGTCAGTTCCCTGCACTGTACTCTGTGCCTGACTTGAAAGGAGGGGAAGGGCACAGAATGGACACTGGGAAGTCAACTTCAGTCCATTCCCGGTAGTATTTTAGGTGAGATCTGGAACTGCTCAGTTACCTGGGGACGAGGAGGCTGTGAATGGTGAGAACCTGCAGGTTTAGGGAAGGAGGTGAGTGATGGGTCAGAAAGCAGCAGGAGTGAGGGAGTAGTGCTGGGGTTGTGATACTTTTTTTTTTTTTGAGTTGGAGTTTCACTCTGTCGCCCAGACTGGAGTGCAGTGGCACGCTCACGGTCACCACAGCCTCGACCTGCTAGACTCAGGTGATCCTTCCACCTCAGCCTTCCAAGTAGCTGGAATTATAGGCATGCACCACCAAGCCCGGCTAATTTTTTTTATTTATTGTAGAGATGAGGTCTCGCAAAGTTTCCCAGGCTGGTCTCGAACTCGTGGGCTCAGGCAGTCTTCTCTCCTTGGCCTCCCAAAGTGCTGGGATTATAGGTGTGAGCCACCACGCCCAGCTTGTGATACTTTTAAAGTGTGAAAACAGTGATTAGTGAGAACTAGGGTTTGAGGCCCTCAAACCACATCTAAAAACGTCAAGCTAAATCCTGGAAATAATTTGCAACCGATTATGAAAAATTTTTTTTTCCTAACTGAGCACATAAGTATTCTTTACAAATGAATATAGCATTTCCCCCTTGATTATAATTTTAAAAATATATAGCCGGGCTCAGTGGCTCAGCCTGTAGTCCCGCGCCTTTGGGAGGCTGAGGTGAGTGGATTGCCTGAGCCCACGGGTTCGAGACCTGCCTGGGCAGCGAGACCTCATCTCTACAATAAAATTTAAAAAATCAGCCGGGTGTGGTAGCGCACGCCTGTAATTCTGGCTACTTGGAAGGCTGAGGTGGAAGGATTGCCGGAGCCCAGCAGGCGAGGCTGCGGTGGCTGGGAGTGGCCACTGCACTCCATTCTGGGCGACAGAGTGAGACTCCAACTCAAAAAAAAAAAAAAAGAAATGTATCCCCTGTGGTTAAGGAGAGACTAAGAAAATGTAAGCTGTGTTCTGCCAGCAGTGAGATTTGGGACCGTTTTGAGGCAGGATGGTGACCTGCCTCACATTTAGTATCTAACACAGAACTAGTCTCCTGTTCCTCTAGAGAGCATGGCCCATGCCCAGGTTTGTGAGCCCTGCTTGACTCTTCAGTGTTCCCTTAGCATGGCACTGACACCTACTGCCTTTACCAGGTAATGCAACTTCCTTGGGATCCCCTGCATCCCCATTGTGCCTGGCTTGTAATAGGAACTCCTAACCACAAGTTAAACCTAAATGAATCTCATGTTTGTTTTCTTGACACACATTTGGAGAATAAAGTATTTAAGTTATGAAACTTAGGACCAGAATCAAGAAATATCTTGGTTACCTTGGAGGTTAGACTATTATTTAGTTTATTTCTCATTTTTCCTTGGATTTTGGCTCTAATTTCTAGGTTTTCAAGCCTATGGCTGATGCTGCTGTGAAGATTGTAGAGAAAAATGGCTTCAGTGATAAGATTAAGGTTATCAACAAGCATTCCACTGAGGTGACTGTGGGCCCAGGTGAGATCTATACTTCCTGTGTTAAAAGGTTTATTTGCCTTGTGTAAGCGAAGAAAAGATTTATTCTGCCAGGCTTGGTGGCTCAGCCTGTAATCCTGCGCCTTGGGAGGCCGAGGTGAGTGAATTGCCTGAGCCCGCGGGTTCGAGACCCACCTGGGCAACTTGGTGAGCCCTCGTCTCTACAATAAATAAAAAAAATTAGCCGGGCGTGGTAGCACGTGTCTGTAGTTCCAGCTACTTGGAAGGCTGAGACGGAAGAATCACCGGAGCCCAGCAGGTTGAGGCTGCGGTGGCTGGGAGCAGCCACTGCACTCTAGTCTGGGCAACCGAGTGAGCGACTGAGTGAGACTCCAACTCAAAAAAAAAAAAAAGATTTATTCCAATTACTTGGAATAAATCCAGGTCATTGTAGAGACATGGGACTTCTCTGTGGAAGCTCTGACAATAAACACTTCACGTCTCTTTTTTTTTTTGATTTGGGGTCTTACTCTGTTGCCCAGACTGAAGTGTAGTGGCACAATCACAGCTCACTGCAGTCTTGGCTTCCTGCCTTCTGAGTAGCTGGAATTTTGCTTCTCTTGATCTTTATTTCTCTATTAACTAGTCAGCAGTGAGTAAGCCAGAGGTAATTAAGTACAATAGTCCTGGCACAAATATGAAACTTTATTTTTTTTATTTTTGAGTTGGAGTCTCATTCTGTCACTCAGGCTGGCGTGCAGGGACACACTCACTGTCTCCGAAGCCTCGACCTGCTGGGCTCAGGTGATCCTTCTGCCTCAGCCTTCCAAGTAACTGGAACCGTAGGCGCTTGCCACCATGCCCAGCTAATTTTTTGATTTTAGAGACGAGGTCTTGCTAAGTTGCCCAGGATTTGATTTATTGTCTCGAATCCCTGGGCTCAGGCAATCCTCTTGCCTCTGTCTCCCAAAGTGCTGGGATTATAGGCATGAGCCACTGCTCGCAACCAAAACTTTATTTTGCGTTAAGCAAGTTGGAATTCTTGTAGGGCTCAACTGTGAGTTTTATCAGTCAGAAGTAAAACTAAAATAGCAGAGAGTGGTTTATTTAGTTCTTTTTTTTTTTTTTTTTTTTCTCTCTGGGCTGGAGTGCAGTGGCATACTCACGGCCATCACAGCCTCAACCTGCTGGGGTCAGGTTAGGTGATCCTTCCACTTCAGCCATCTTGTAGTTGGAATTATAGGCACATGCCACCGTGCCTGGCTAATTTTTAAATTTATTGTAGAGATGAGGTCTCATCAAGTTGCCCAGGCTGGTCTACCACAGTTTTTAAAAAAGGCTCAGCCTGTAATCCTGCGCCTTTGGGAGGCTGAGGTGAGTGGATTGCCTGAGCCTGCGGGTTCGAGACCTGCCTGGGCAGCGAGACCTCATCTGTACAATAAATCAAAAAATCAGTCGCGTGTGGTAGCGCATGCCTGTAATTCCGGCTACTTGGAAGGCTGAGGTGGAAGGATCGCTGGAGCCCAGCAGGTCGAGGTTGTGGTGGCCGGGAGCGGCCACTGCATTCCAGTCTGGGTGACAGAGTGGGACTCCAACTCAAAAATAAAAAATCTTACATGTTGCCCAGGCTGGACTCAAACTCCTGACTTCAAGTGATCCTCCTGCCTCAGCCCCCCAAGTAGCTGAGACTACAGGTACCCACACCTGTGCCTGGCTTTTTCAGCAGTTTTCTTTGCTTTTTGTTTTTTGAGTTGGAGTTTCACTCTATCACCCAGGCTGGAGTGCAGTGGCATGAACATGGCTCACCACAGCCTCCACCTCCCTCTTGGAATCTAGTGATCCTTTCACCTCAACCTCTTAGAGTAGCTGTGACTACAGGTGTGAGCCGCCATACCCAGCTAATTTTTTAATTAAAAAGAAATTTTTTTTTGTAGAGCTAGGTTCTCACCATGTTGCCTAGGCTTGTCTCACTCCTGGGGTCAAGCAGTCCTCTGGCTTTGGCCTCCCAAAGTGCTGGTATTGCAAATGTGAGTCATTGTGCCTGTCCTTCACCACAGTTTAAAAATGAAATATTTAGAATTGAAGCAGCTACCTAAGGTCAACAATTTTCTCCCACTAAAAAAAATTTTTTTCTACTTGGAAGGCTGAGGCAGAAGGATCACCTGAGCCCAGGAAGTTTGAGGCTGCGGTGGCCGTGAGCATGCCACTGTACTTCAGCCTAGGTGACAGAGTGAGACTCCGACTCAAAAAAATTTTTTCTTGAAGGAGAATCTGAAACGTACAAAAGAAGGGAATATTGTCTTCTTTATTTTTATTTTTTATTTTTTAATTTTTTATTTTTTTTGAGTTGGAGTCTCACTCTGTCGCCCAGACTGGAGTGCAGTGGCCACTCCCGGCCACCGCAGCCTCGACCTCCTGGGCTCTGGCGATCCTTCCGCCTCAGCCTTTCAAGTAGCCGGAATTACAGGCATGTGCTATCACACCCAGCTGATTTTTTGATTTATTGTAGAGATGAGGTCTCGCTGCCCAGGCGGGTCTCGAACCCACGGGTTCAGGCAATCCACTCACCTCAGCCTCCCAAAGGCGCAGGATTACAGGCTGAACCACCGAGTTCGGCCCGGCCTATTTTTAATACATACTTACAAATCATCCCATTTCTAGCTAACATTATTGAAGTATGATTTATATAAAATGAATACTCATTTTCATTATAGTTTGACAAGTTTTTTAAAATTTATTTTTCAGGTACAAAAATATATGGATGTATAGTTTGACAAATTTTGACAAATGTAAACACACTTGTAACCACTACTATGATAGAATATCTCTATCATGTTTAAAAAGATTCTTCATGGCCCTTCACAGTTAATCTTCTCATGTCCCTGGTCCTAGGTACCCACTAATGTGTTTTCTTTGGGGTAGATTAGATTTACCTTTTCTAGGATTTCAAGGAAGGGGAATCAGTCTGTACTCTTTTGTATATGTTTCCTTTTATATAACATAATGCTTTTAAGACTCAGTCACATTGTTCCATTTCTCAGGAGTTCATTCTCTTTTTGCTGATCTATACTGTAACTTGTTTATCTCTTTACCTGTTGATGGACAGGAATCATTTCTTGGACAGTCTTTTTTTGGGGGGGAGTAGGTCTTTAGATGCACTGAACTTTTCTTTCACAGTATGTATTCTGCTGTTAAGCATATCTAGTGAACTTTTTATTTCTGATACTGTATTTTTATCTCTAAGTTTAATTTGATTCTTGTTTATAACTTCCGTTTTTCTCATTATGTTCATATTTTGCTTTAAATGCAGCATATATTTTAGCAGTTTTAGTATCCTTATATTTCTGCCATCTCTGTTTACTAATTTTTATCCTCATTCTGGATCACATTTTTTTTCTTTGCATGTCTATTTTTATGTGAATGCTTTGGATATTGGAATTTTTCATTGTTGAGTGCTGGATTTTTTTTTTTTTTTTTTTGAGTTGAAGTCTCATTCTGTTGCTCAGGCTGGAGTGCAGTGGCATGCTGCCAGCCACCGCAGCCTTGACCGCTGGGCTCAGGTGTTCCTTCTGCCTCAGCCTTTCAAGTAGCTGGAACTACAGGGACATGCCACCATGCTTGGCTACTTTTTTGATTTATCATAGAGATGAGGTCTTGCCAAGTTGCCCAATCTGGTCTTGAACCTGTGGGGTCAAGCAGTCCTTTCATATCAGCTTCCCAAAGTGCTGGGATTATAGGTGTGAGTCACTGTACCTGGCCCTTGTTTTTTGTTTTGTTTTTTAAAACTTTGGTGTGTATCTGGATTATGTGCAGTTCAATCTGATCCTTTCAAGGCTTGACAAATTAAGCTTGCTTGGAGCAGGGTTAGAGTAGCTTTAAGTCAGGGTTTCTCAGCAGCAGCACTGTTGACATTGTGTCACTCTATTTGACTTTTTGATAATTCTTTGGTATGGGAACTGCACCTTGCACTGTAGGATGTTTAGCAGCATCCCTGGCCCCTACCAGTGGATGCCAGTAGCACTCCCCTCCTTGCCACCATTTTTGTCAACAAAAATATCTTTAGACATTGCCAAATGTTCCCCAGGAGTATGGGGTATAAAGTTGCCACCTGTTAAGAACCACTACTTTAAAACTATTAAGCTAGACTGTGGCAGCATGATCTTTCTGGGGTCTCTGCTGAATGCTCTAGGTGCTCAGCAAGGATTCTCTAGTCTTGCTGATCTATACTTGAATGTTTCCCAAGCCTCTGAAAGCTCTGGAAATTGTTTAAATTTAAAGCTCATAATCACCTTTGCTTAAACTTATAGTCTTACCCTACACGTGTGTGAATATATTCAATAACAGACTGGAGAGGAACCCTATGCAGAGTTCTGAAGCCCTTTTTTTCTGTGTAACTTCCTCTTTGGTTTTCTGCCTGGCAAGTTCCAGCCGCCTTCACTTCCCCGAAGTTTTTCTGTGCTTAACTCAGCAAGACTGCTGTGCTGTGCCTGACCTCTTATCCTGTGCCACAGTCTGGAAGGAGCCTCTTGGCTGACAGCCAGAGCGGTGATTAGGGGTCACTTGGTTTGTTTCCCTTCTTGAGGAGCAAACTGCACTGCCTTGCTCAATATCTGAAAACACTTGTTTCATATATTTTGCTCAGTTTTCTAGTTGATGACAGTGGGAGGATAGGTCTCACCCCACTTATTTCATTATCACCAGAAGTAGACACCATTTATTTTTGAAAATGTATCTGTCTTAACAGCACAGAGACCAACCTGCAGAGCAGCCTTGGCCACATAGCATTCTCTCTGTGATTTTGTGCCCCCTGCTCCAGGCAGTGCTTTTCAGACACATCCTGGTCAGGTCCCTTGTATGCTTTCTTAATACTTTTCCTTTGTAGCACTTATCACTGTAATAATAATTATGTATTTAATGTCTGTATCCCCTTACAGCTAAGGTGTCATGAGGTCATGGACTATATGGATTTTACTAATTATTCCATTCCATTATTTGCGCAGGGCCTGGGACATAAAGGATTTCAATGTTTGTTTAGTGATAGTCAGCTTTGCTTTGTCTATAACCCTTTGCTAATGAAACTTTGTTTCCAATCCTGTAACTTGACAAGTGGCTTCCTTTTGTCAAGTCGGGGGTCTTCCCTCTACTTTTCCTCTCAAACCACTGCAGCTGCAGCTTTGGTACTCTGCCACTGAGTCCTTCCTGAAATGTTCTCTTCCTGGACCTCGGTGACATCTCCCAATCTTGGTTTTTCTATGTTGCTTTCTTTCTGCTCCCAAATGTGTGATCTCCAAGGTTCTATTCTCAGCCCTTTTTAAAAATGCATCTAAGTTTGTTACCTGTTCCCAGGAGATGAATTATACACCCAGGAATGTGTAGCAGCTGACTCTGGGAGCAACATTTGTTCATCCATCCATTTCATTCATTTGGCAGAAACTTGTAGAGCACCTGGGGTAACTGCGCCCTTCGGTCTCCCTTTGCACCTTTATACATTAGCACGCCCATTGCTAAATACCACCTGATGCCCAGGTTTCTGGTCTGTGTGACTGGTGGTGCTGTTCATCGAGGCAAAAACACTGGAGGGAGGAGCAGGTGTGTGTGTGTGTGTGTGTGTGTGTGTAGGAGGGGCTAGGGGGTCTGTCTTAGTGTATTCCAGTTGGAGTTTGGCATGACATCTGAGAGGATGGGCAGGGCCACGCTGTAGGGTGATCTCTGTGCCAAAAGATGGAAGTTTCTTTTTTTTTTTTTTTTGAGTTAGAGTCTTCTCACTTTGTCACCCAGGCTGGAGTGCGGTGGCACACTCATGGCCACTATAGCCTCATCCCGCTGGGCTCAGGCGAACCTTCCACCTCATCCTTCCAAGTAGCTGAAACGACAGGTGTACACCACCATGCCTGCTCATTTTTTTGTTTAATTGTAGAGATAAGATCTTACCAAGTTGCCAAGGCTGGTCTTGAATCCCTGGGCTCAGGCAATTCTCTTGCCTCTGCCTCCCTACTGGGATTACAGGTGTGAGCAACTGCACCTGGCTAACCCTGTTTTGTTAATGAGGCAACTGATGGTCAGAATCAATAGTTCTAGGCTAGAATGCAAGATCCAGGCCCAGATTTCTAGGCCCCAAAGTTGGAGCTCTCTCTTACATCTTTCTTTGAGCCACCTTAATGCTGCTCTTTTCTCGCATCATCTGTGTGACTTGTCCTCTGTGTAGGGTAGATGAGTGGGCTTTGTCAAATTGTAATTTATGAGCCATTAAGTGTTTGAAATTAATTCTCCATGATTAGTAACCCCTTCTAAAGTCTATTTTGTCTCTTGGCCCATTAAAAATTATAATTGTAGATATAGCATTACATTACAGAGGTTAAAAAACAGTTAACAAAAGAATCCTCTGAAATCTTACTCTTCTAAAACAACTGTTATTTGGGAGATTGTTCAGTGGCAGGACACTAAATTAAATGAGGGAATTTACTATATGGATCTGGGATTTTCTTTTCTTTTTTTGAGTTGGAGTCTCACTCTGTCGCCCAAACTGGAGTGCAGTGGCCACTTCCGGCCACCGCAGCCTCGACCTGCTGGGTCCGGCGATCCTTCCGCCTCAGCCTTCCAAGTAGCTGGAACTACAGGCACACGCTACCACACCCGGCTAATTTTTGATTAATTGTAGAGATGAGGTCTTGCCAAGTTGCCCAGGCGGGTCTCGAACCCGCGGGCTCAGGCAATCTACTCACTTCAGCCTCCCAAAGGTGCGGGATTACAGGCTGAGCCACTGAGCCTGGCTGGATCTGGGATTTTCAATCACGGGTCTCACTTTTGGTAGCTATAGCTAAACTCAAGGTAACTGGAAGATCATCAGATTATTTCTCTTTGCTTTGGTTTTTTCTCCCTCTCTGCAGCCTAGAGGTATTTGAAGTACCAGCATTCAATTTTTGCTTCTCATTTTAAAATTTCATACTTAGTAGTTTAATTGTTGATTTGGTTTTCCACATATTTTATTATTTTCTGTTTTTTAATTGTCTGTTTGTATTTTTACCTTGTTTCTTTATGGGTGTTTATAGTTTTTCTTAATCATTTTTTTCCCCAAGCTCCTCTCCATATTAAACATACAGAGAAGTTGAAATAATAGTATAGTGAGCACTCATATTCCCTTAACCTAGACTTACTGGTTGTTAGTGTTTTGCCATACACTGCCATACACATATACATGGAGTTTTTTGCTGAACCACTGGAAAGTCAGTTGCTGGTATCTTGACACTTTTTTTTTTTGAGTTAGAGTCTCACTCTGTCATACAGGCTAGAGTGGCTCACTCACGGCCACCGCAGCCTTGACCTGCTGGGCTCAGGTGATCCTTCTGCCTCAGCCTTCCAAGTCGCTGGAACTACAGGCACATGCTACCATGCCGAGCTGCTTTTTTTTTTTTTTGGCAGAGATGAGGTCTTGCCAAGTTGCCCAGGCTGGTCTCGAACTCATGGGCTCAGGCAATCCTCTCAGGTGCTGGGATCATAGGCGTGAGCCACCTCGCCCAGCCTGTATCTTGACACTTCTAAGTACTCTAGCATATGATCTGCTTTTGGTGTAATGACTTGTTAATATCTTGTCTTTCACATATTTGCCATAAACATTTTTCCTAGTCTCTTCCTTGCTTGAGACTCTTGTTTGCTTCTGTTTTTCAGTTGGTGACATGCCGTGCCGTGCCAACATCCTGGTCACAGAGCTGTTTGACACAGAATTGATTGGGGAGGGAGCGCTGCCCTCCTATGAGCATGCACACAGGCATCTTGTGCAGGTAGTGAACTGAGGGCCACCCTTGGGTGTTGTTGCTGTGATCTCAGCTGGCTCACACAGCACTAGTTGATGCATCATGCTCATATAGCTCAAACCCTTGGCACCTCTCCATGCACCCTGAGACACCCTTCAAATCCTGGGAGGCTATAGTTCTCAGTTGTGACTTCTGTGACCCTTAAATGCCAGGTATTTATAGGTTAGAATAAAAAGGTGAGAAACTGTCTTCAAATTCAGTTCAATTCAACTGTTATTCTTTGAGTGTCCACTATGCGTAAGGTATTCTAGCATTCAGGGGGATGTATGAAACAGTCTTCTTCTAAGACCCACAGTAGTAGACATAGTGAGAATTGGGTGGCCAAATGACTAGACAGAAGCACTGCAGATATCTGGTTTAGACTGGCAGAAGAGGTCAGGAAGCAGATGCAGGCATGTGTGAAGAAGATAGACTGTGGAAAGGTGCTGAGGAGAGAGGTGTTTTAGGTATAGAGCCTGTGTGGGTCAGTGAGGACTCCAGCCTGGATGCCTTGTGGGCTGATGGTGGAGAATAGAGTGGAGGGTGGAAGGCCTTGAATGCCAGGCCACTCCAGATGAGGTAGCAGTGACAGTCTTGGGCAGTATTTTTGAGAAGGGAGAGGTGCTGAAAATGTTATCTTGGAGCCATTGGTCTTGCTTTTTTATGGACATAAATTGAAGGTGGAGACCAAGAGGCAAAGACTAGCTGGAGAAGGGAGAGTGTCTGCTGCTTTCTCTGCTGGCATCTGCTTGGTGACCTCCTTAGGGTCCTTGGTGCCCCTGAAGTGAAGGAGGGAACCACCTTTCAGGTAGTCAAGAGCCAGAGTTCACATTGCTTACATGGTCAACTTGTGGTGGAGATTGTTCTCCAGATTGCCATACTGTAAGATGTCTGTTAACGTTAAAATGTGAAATTAATCCTTTTCTAGTAGTCCACATCAGTAGTAAGAATTTCTTTTCTCCATATTAAAACCACCAACTAGAGAAGTCCCTGAAACAGAAAACAAGGTTATTTAGAATTATGCTAATATTACCCGGTTTGTCTTTCTTTAATTTATCTTATTAAAAAGATGTGCAGGCAGCTGTCCTCAGTTTCCTCTCCCGCTATCCTGTAGCAGGTTGGTGTCCGTTGTCCACTCTAATCACTGGCTCCATCTGTCTACCCTATCTCTGAGCCTGAAAGCAGGTCCACAAAGGATTGCATTGCTCTATCCATCTTCCTGCATTATTGGATGTCATGAAACCAGAATACTTGGGCATCTGACAGATTGTTCATGTGGTTATTGAAGTGACCCAGGAATTGATCTTACTTACTGAGTATCTTCATTTTGAGTCGGGGCCCGTCTAAAACAATGAGATAAGGGCCTTCCCAGAATAGAAAAAGAATGTGTTAGAGAGAAAGTGACATGGCGTAGTCAGGGATGGAAGGGGGCAAGGAAGATGATGCTTAAACTGAGTCAGTTTTGAAAAGTGATGAGGTGTTGGCCTGGCAGATGGGAATATTTCTAGCAGAGGAGAACAACATGTACAAGACACGAAGGTGAATCAGTGTAGTGACTCCCAGTCCCTGCCAGTTGTTTAGATTTTGTGTAGCGTGGGAGACATGAGAGGTGGGCTTAGAGATGAGGCTAGAGAGCTAGCAGAGGCTAGATTGAGAAGGGCCTAGGAGGGGTAGAAGGTGGGAAGAAGGTAGGGTAGTATCAAGGGATGGCTTGGAGCAGGAGATTGACAGCAGATGTATGCAGGCAGACATAGCAAGACTGGCGGCTGCAGAGCTGTTAAAAGACCATGGAGTCATCCAGACACTGGAATATGGTGGGCCTCAGCCAGAGCCACACACATGAACATGAAAGGTGATTACAGGAGTTGGTGGTTACTTAAATGTGGAAGCATCAAGGATGATGTCAGGGTTTAGGGCTTGGGCACCTGGATTGGGTGGTGGTGCTCCCTGTTGAGTGGGAGCACAAGAGAAGAGGTGGCCCTGGAAAGGTGGGGGGAGGAGTGAGCTGATGTGTCCAGTTTAGACATGCAGGGTTATCTGAGGGTCAACTGAGTAGAAAGGACCAAAGAGGTCTGTATTTTTTTGGTTTTGTTTTATTTTTGTAGAGATGGGGTTTTGCTATGTTTCCTAGGCTGGTCTCAAATTCTTGACCTCATGTGATTCTCCCACCTTGGCCTCCCAAAGTGCTGGGATTTTAGGTGTTAACCATCACACCTAGTTCCAAGAGGCCTGTAGATGCATGGATTTGGTGAATTAAGATGGAATAGTTGAGAGCACTCAGGGGAGGGGAAAAGGCAGTCCAGACAAGGTGTCTGGGAAGCCCCTTCAGGAGGGGTGGCAGAGGAAGCACAGCCTTGTGAAGTAGACAGGGAGTGAGAGAGTTCTGCAAGAACACTGTTTCCCTACCACAGCAAGGTCTAGAGACACTTGTGGTTGTCATGACTCAGGGGAGGTCAGGGATGCTGTTAAACATCCTACCATGCCCAGAACGGCTTCCACAACAAAGAATTATTTGGCTCGAGAGGCCAATAGTGCCAAAATAGAGAAACCCTGTGCTTATCATTTCCGTGTGAGTAGCAGCTAGAAGTGTCCTCTTTGCTGTGGGGTCCCCAGTGCCTGGTGTGTCAAGGATGTATAACGAATGCATGTGGTGGGAGGAATACTAGACAAGGAGCTGGAGCCACAGCCATGTGAGGTAAGTACTCAGTATTGCCGGGCGATGCCAGCAGGTCAGGTCAGTTGAAGATAGACAGTTGTCCTTTGGGCTTTGCAGTGGGGAGCTTCCGGGTCAGGTGTCCCGGCAAGAGCAACACTGAAAGGACACTCTGAGCCTGGCGCCACACTTACTGTTCAGCAGTAGGACTTAGGCTCTTTCTTCAAAGTCAGTGTGGGAGTTCATCAGTGTGATGACATTTAAGGTTTATTCCTGAAGTATTTAAGAGTGGGGGAGGGGGTGGGGGGAGCACATGTCTCAGAGGACAAGGGTCTGAAGAACACTGGAATTCACTGAGAAACTTGTTTGTAAAGACTGGAGTTAATTATTGCATTTTCTTACAAAAATATATTTTGGAAAATTGTATGCTGTCCATTAAAGTGTTTTTGAGTAAAAAAAAAAAAAAAAAAAGGCCCGGG